CGAAGTAGAACTAGATGCAGAAGCGGCAACTGGACGGAGATCCCACTCACGAGAGTCGTTGTTGACGGTCCTGCCCTCCCTATATGGATGCGTCGCCTCTGCATTGAGAATATCTCTCTCAATCAATCGCTCCATCATAAGCTTCTCTCCAAACTCTGAGAACATGTTGGGGGTGCCTGGCCTGCTCGATGGAGGCGTATAGGACGACCATAGAGAACTAGAGTCAACCTTCACCATATCTGATGCGCCACTTCCCCTTCTACCAGGTGTCATCGCCCTTGTATTTCCAATGAAATTGTTTGCAAAGTCGTCCCCGTCGTTCGATCCTCCTTCGAATTTTTGAATCAAAGCTCGTAGCTTGGGGGAAGCGTTCATTCGCGGCTGCGTCGCACGATCCATGTTGACGGTAGAAGTGGGGATTGGAATCGGAGCAGTTGGGTTTCTGTGCGCGGTTCGAAGAACAGCATTGGCCGGAGGGATCGGCAGAGAAGTTGGGAGAGAAGGAGCGGTCGCACCCCTCAATGAACGGGTGGGGTTCCTCACTGGCCGAGGAGGAGGAGGAGTGCTCGGTTGGCTCTCGTTAGAAGGCGATCCAGGGAGTGGGGTAGGCTCTTGGGCTTGGGAATGAATCAGCGTAGGAGGGGTTGGTCTGTATGCCGGAGGAGGGGTCACGTTTGAAGCCAACGTCTCCTCAATAAGAACGGGCTCCTCTGTGAAAACACTCCTGCGCGTTCTCTCTGGACTTGGTATCGCCGGGCGGTGTGTATCTCTTGGAGTACTGGCGGTTTTAGGGCTTTCGGTGCTCTGGGCCGTTGTGGCTGCTGATACACGACGTTGCATAAGACTCGGCGAGAGAATGATCTCGGACAAGTCTGATAGCTCTTCAACTGGAGTATGGGGCTCCATTGATAAGGATGGGAAGGGTTTCAGGGCCGTAGAGATCGAAACCGTGTTAGCCGTAGACAAGCCGAACGGGATTCCTGGGCGGTTCAATGCAAGATCCGAGTCTGCATCGTCCGCTGCATCGAATTCTTCGAGGGAATTTGGGGATGTCATCGGAGGACCGGAGACGGCTGATGAAGGTGTAGTGTCGGAAGCCTCTTGCACAGGGGTGAGCCTTTGTTGCTCTAGCTCTTCCACTACAGCGCTAGGTGGCTCAGGGACTGAACGGGATGGAGCCGAAGGTGTCGCGAGAGGGGCAGTGATGACGTTAGCGATGGGATCCTGCACCTTCTGCTCTTGGTGTTGCGGCGTCGATTCGGATTTCTGGGTCTCTTGTGTCACCTCTACTTTCTGCGAGACTTGTGGCTTCGCGTCTGTTACTGGAAGTTTCTCCTTCACTTCTACTTTTGGTGACCTCTGCTTCTCCGGTATGTCGGCTGTGGTCTTCGTTCCAACCTGAATTACTTGGCTAATCGTAGTACAATTGACTAAATCCATTATCGACGAAAATGAGTTCTTTATTGTTGGTGGTTCCAGAATAAATTCTGGCGACCGAAACTCATTAGCAGCCAGCGAAACGCGCGGGCGTGCTCTCGTAATAGGCAATGGTTTACGTTCCTTGCCAATTTTTGCTTTTCGAGGTGTCGACTTTCGCCTTGAAATTGGTACTAAAACAGGTATAATATGTGGAGGCTTGGAGGAAAATGTAAGAACATCCCATTGGAAAAAACAGAGTTACAAAATGACAATAGTAGAACCATTTACTTCATGAATTTGTGGAGGACCTCGTCCCGCCATTGCTCCCGTTCCTGGTATTCTGTGACGACAGTCAGATCGGTGATTTGAATTCATGCAGGTTACTCACGTCCTGATAACGTTGCCGGCGTCGTCTTGAATGACAACATCTCCACCACCCTGGACGATGTAGGTACCTCCAGTCTTTGGAGGCGGCTGCTTCGCCAGGTTGGCAAGATATTCTTCATAAGGAATGTATCCGTTTTCGTCGTCGCCGATCTAAGTGATATTGATGAGCGGAGACTCGACGCAAGAGATGGCATGAATCACCTCCAAAGTCACGCCTTCGTCGACCACAAATGTCGGTGGGTTTCTGGGGTCGATTTCCATTTTGTCGCCGGGTTTGAGCATGCGAGGGGTCTCAGGACCACTAGGGGAAAGGATAGTCTACCAAACAATTAGATCTTTTTGTGTTATATAAAGGGAAAAAAAAAGCGCGACTCACCCCCTGCCTCGAGAGTCCAGCCACAGCCACGTGGCCTGGGTGGCCCCCTCCTGCGTGCTCATGCTCCCCGAGGTTTACGACGGCTGGGTGCGCTGTTTCAACGTGTTCAAATGGAGGCTCATGAACGTTGGCATGATGGTTTAATGTACCGCGTGGACTATCACTAAACGGCTGCTCAAAGTATCCTCCCTCTTCTTCGTCGTGGTGGTGTAGATGTGGGTTATATTGACTTGCCCGGATGAATTGAGACGGTGGTCGCACGTTGATAGTGCTAGGTTGGCGCATCATCGACCCACCGTCGTAAGGCGAATATGGGTCCTCTTCGTGGACAGCCGTTACCGGTGCTCCATGGTGTTCTTCATAGTGAAGCGGCGCATCCGAGCGGTGGCTCATCCTGGCCTCAGTTGGTGATCTTGATTGCATAGACTCATGGGTCGACGGTACCCTCTCAAGCTGATTTCAAATGAATGTCAGATATATGCCGTGCTATGGGGCTTATGGAGAGGACTCGTGATACGCCGCCATTCAACCCGGATGGCCTAAATAGTGCGTGAATGTGGCGTAGCACTCACTTTGTTTTTCTACAAGGTTGATTGTTAATACCACCATAACCAGATTTCTCTTAGCCTTACCTTGGTTTTTTTACCCTTTCCAGGGTCTTCCTCGTCCTTGTTCTTTCCGAACATACCTTTCAACAAACTCTTTTTCCTGCCAGACATGATTGGAAATCGACGACCGCTATCCTTTTTCTTGACTAGAGAGGATGTTGAGCCTTGAGCCCGGACGTGGCGTAGATCAACCTCGACAGTGTGTGTGTTCTGTCAGCGATGGTGGTCGCCACAAGGCGGCTGCGTGGTCAAACCCTTGCTTCAGAAATTATTCCGAAATCTGTGTTCCATCTCTCAGCTGAC